GAAGAGACAAAAATAGTCACTGTGGCAAGAGTAAAGAAAGCTTCTTTCCAAATGAAACCCAGCCTCGATTGCTGACTTCCTGCACCTCTTTAAGTCAGGAGGGACATGTTTAAGGAACTGTTGAAAGATCTTCCTGCCTCTTGAGGGACTGGGGCTCCCAGCTCTCAACAGGCAGCTTTACCTCAGGCTGTTTCCAAGCTCTGTCAGGAACCAGGAACCCTTCCACTCAGAGGAACACCGCTTGCTCTGTTACTGGCATGACAAGGAGGTAATTAACCTGGAACTTTAAACTGGAAATGAAGTCTCTGGTATCTCTCTGAAGGAGGCGCCTGCTGTACTGCTCAGAGCCATGTCCAGGAGAAAGGCTTCCTTGTCAAAGAGCTCTACTGGGGGAAAGGAGGACCCAACACGGTCTCATGCCCAACACTGTTGGCAAGGCTACTCATACCTCTCTGCCCTTCAGGTGGGCAGAAAAGAAAACTGACAGCATCCAGTATTGGCGAGGATAGCGGACTGGACCCTTTGGAGAATAATGCCAGAAGTCAAGCTAGCGATGTGGGTCACAGAGCATTAAAAATGTCCCTTTCATTTGACCTAGCAATCCACAGCCAAGGTTTTCACCCTTAGATGGCTTAAAATGTGCAATATTTTAACTATATGGATGCTCACTCACCACAGTCTTTTCATAGGGATGAGAAAATGAAGTGAGCCCAAATGTCCAGCAACAGAAAATAGGTTCAATTAATTTTAGTTCATCCTTATAATGGAATATTCAGCAGCCATTAAAACAATAATGTACAGCTCTGTTTGTTGACAAGGCAGAAAGGGAAAATGTTAAAGTGGATTAAGTTGTATGATGCTATGTGCATGTGTCTCAGTGGCAGTATTGTGAGTGTTTCTTCTTTATCCTTTTATCTATTCCACGAAAACTGTAAGCACGAAAAATTATGATCAGGAAAAGATCAACAAAATATTTTTATTTCTTGAAAAAAGACTTTATCAAGAGGCCCAAGAATGTAGTCCAGCCCTCAGAGGCTCCATGTGACCTAAAGGAGAGAGATACCGCTACCAGCCACTTTGCACAGAGCTGGCTCCTCCCCAGCACTCCAAATTGTTTCATTATAAAGCTGATGAGGGAAAAGAAATTATTCCCCACCAGGGCCACTGACTGTAGAGTTTATACATCATCCTCACCTCCACATGGGTTTTTCTTGAGCACCCCAGTTTCCTCCCGTGCCCCTGAGATGTGCACATGAGGTTACTGGTGTGTCTCAATTACCCCAGTTGGTGAGTGAGTGTGTGTGGGTGTGTGTGGGTGTGTGTGGGTGTGGGTGGGTGCTGCGCCCTGCAATGAGAGATGTCCTGTCCAAGGTGGGTGCCTGCCTTGTACCCTGAGCGGCAGAGAGAAGTGTTCTGGCCACCTATCACCCTGAAATGGAATAAGTAGACTGGAAAGTGACTGAGTGGATTGATATAAATTATTATTATAATAATATTACTCATAGTAGAGTAGTACTCAATAGTAAAAGTATTTGGGGTCTTCCCTTAGAAGTTTGCTGATGTATTTGTGACCAGAAATATGGCATAGGAACATCATTCTTGTTTATGTCAATTAACCTATAGTCAAATTGGTTTCATTATACTCATTTTGTTTAAAGTCAGTTTCCAAAAACCTATCAAGAACATTAAATGAAACCTCACTGTATTCGCAAAACAGTAAAGCATCCCTCTTGTATCAGCCCATACATTTTAAATTATGGATATCAGTCTGGGATCCAAAATGGCTCCCCAAAGCTCTAAGCTCTCACAAATTGAAGTCTAATGGGAATAATGAAAGAGCGCACCTCTCTGCCTAGAGGCCTGGCTCTGGGGTTCAGCTGTCCTATTTCTCAGCATTCTACCCTCCGCATAGCTATTCATCCCTCAGGGATTTACTGGGCACTCATCCTGGTCCAGGCACTGATTTGAGCATGTGGGATTTGGAGGACAGGAAGATGAGGTCCTGTGATTAGAAAAGAAGCTTTCCCCCCTGAATCCTCTAGCATATGATCTATATCTTTTGGGGCATCTTCCCTTCCCACCTTGTTTCACCTTTGTCTTCTGCTTCAGCTCCTCTTTCCATCAGGCCATCTGTCCCTTGAGGGCTGCTTCTGCCTCTCCCACAGCACGTAGGGAGTGAATGGCACATAGCAAAGCTCAATAAATATTTATGGAATGAATGACTAGATGAATTACTACTAGAAATGCATATTTCCTTTATTTAGATGTATGTCAATCTGATGTCTGATATCCTAGGTCAGTTAGAACTCTCTCTTGAGATGGAGTAACAGAAAATGCAATCCCAACCATATTAAGCAAAAAGGGGAATTCATTATCTCCCATAACTTCAAAGTCTACAAGCTCAGCATTAGCTGCACCCAAGACTCAAAACAACACAGGTCTTGGTCTCCCTCTATTGCTCAGCTTTGTCTGATCCCTGTTGGCTCTGTTCTCTGACAGGCTCTTCCCTTGTGAAACCAAAATGGCTCCCCAAAGCTCTAGGTGCTCTCAAATCGAAGTCCAATGGGAAAAAGGAAAGAGTGTAAAACCCCCCACCTGCCTGACTGAGCCTGGCTGGACAGGCCTGGCTCACATGTTTATGTCTACAGCAGCTCATGTACTCACAGTGGCTGTGGGGTGGCTGGCTCCCCCAAACAGTGTGTTTACAGAGAAGAAAGGAGGATGGATTTACACAATAAGATCAACAGTATCTATCAGCTTCCCACTGGTAGAAAACACATCTTGCCTGTTTCTTGGGCCCAAACCCAATGCATTCCCTCTTCAAACTAGACATCTTTGTTTCTTCTCCCTGCCTGGGCAGCAGGACTACACCCAACTCCATGTGGGGAAAACGGAACTGTTTCAGACTAAACCTCCTTACTTTAGCCAAACACTGCCCATGGATTTGAATTTGCCACTCCCAGAGCAGTGTTTCTTCTTCACCAATCTCATCCGCACACGGAGAGCATCTGGGATGGGAGGGCTTTTAAAAGCAGGTACATGTATATCTAGGTTTCAGGTGTGCATGCACTTGCATACATACATACACACACACACACATACATTTATTATATAAAAAATTCATATTTATATAAATATAAAATATATTTATGTAATATATATATAAAATATCACAAGTCAATGTTACTTAAATACAATTTTTAAAAAATTAACAGTGACTACAAATCATTATTAAACTTATACCTAATCAAAAGTATTAATGCTAAATTAAAAGCAAATGTTTGGGAGTGGTGCCCTCCTCCAACCTGAGTCAGGTGATCTTCTCTGAGCAGGACACTCCCTGTCTCTCAGAGTATCTGCTGTCACCTGTAGGGGAGACAGTCTTGGCTTTACATTCAGACAGAGCTGAAGAGCAGGAAGCTACCCTGCCACCACAGCACAAAGTCACTGGACAAGTCAGGCATCTCTCTGAGTCTCGCTTTCCTCATCTGTACAATGGGAATGCTAACCCCTAATTTGCAGGGATGCTGGGAGGATTAAATGAGATAGCACAAAGTTCTAGTGCTACTAGTAAGCACTTGAGTATTCTTAGATATAGGTTCCAAACAAGATTGCCAAGGGGCATCTATTACTCATTCATCCCTGCAACCTGAAACCTAGCTTTGTTGCCCACTAACTTGTTTTCAAATGTTGCTGCTCAATCCAAGCATCATCAAGGAAAAGCAGTTTCGGAATGTTTAATTTAAGAAATTCCTCTTAATATTATCGTAATATAAAAAGGACTTTTTTCTTTGACAAAAAGTGTGTTCCACGCTCAGCATGAAATACAAAAGAGACATGCGTATGCAAAGTAAACTTATAAGAAAGGTACTCCAAAGCACTTTCTGAATAATAAACGTGAATAATGGTGAGATGTGGGTTACCTAAGCGCCAAACGTGTCTCTGAAACTTCAAACATTTGTTTTAAATACTGTTGACATTATATGGAAGGAAAGGTCACAGGTGAAATGTAAAGAGATTTTACTGTTTGAGATTGTGTTGCAAAAACAGCTTCCCTCTAGCACAGGAATATCTAGGAGGACTTAAATGTCACTAACGGTCTCAAAATTACAGCAGTAGATTTGCAGGAAAAGGGATGTAAAGGGCCTTTTTCATTAAAAATGTTCTTTGATTTTCAGTTGTAGCTTTGGCAGCATTATTGGCAAGGGAGTGATCATAAGGGAGTGTTTCTTAGCTCGCTGTATTTTTCTCAATCAAATTAAATCTAACACCAAGTTCCCACTCACCAGGATGGTGAGCAGTAGAGTGAATTCACTCCCAGTCATACTTGAGACTTTGTCCTAGCCCTGCTCTCCTCCACTGCCTCCATCAGAAGGCCCAGCTCCTGCTGGCCTTTCTGGCCTCAGTCACCACTGGCCTCTGTGGCTATCAAGGCCGAGCCAGCACGGTCTATGGGCAACAGAAGCAACAGAAGCTCCTCGCTGTTCTGGCCAGTCCAGACACAGGTTCTGGCTGAGGTGGGCCCTGAGAGGGCTCCAGGGCTCAGGGCCACATGTAGACATTTCCCTCTGCAGCACTGTCCCATCCACTGTGTCCCCCTCAGGGAGCTGGTCCCCCACAAGTGCCATGCCATCTTAGGAAGCACTCCTGCTCTTAGCGAGGACATCATTTTTGAGAGAGGGAGAAGAGGGTGAGTTTCTTACCAACAGGGTGGAGGAAGGTAGTGCTCATGGCCGGGGGCCAACTAAAGCCAGAAGTCAGACCAAAGCCCCAACAGTGACACAGGTGGGAACCCCAGAAGCTCTGGGAGCTGATACTAGACAATGAGCCATGTAGTCCTGACTCTGAGTTGGCCTGTGTGCTGAGTGCTTCTGTTTATCTTTCCAGCCAGTGGTGCCTCCACGTCCTTCCGGTGACCTCTACCTCTCCCAGTGAGGTCCATGTGTTTTACATGGAGCACAATCAAGTAGTGATCAAACTCCCCAGCATGGGTGACTTACCAGGATTGGGCTTGAGGCCTGATCAAGTCAAAGAGGTGCAGTGGGACTTCTGTAGTAACTATTCAGAGATAGATTGGTCCCCCTTCCCTGAAGGAATTGAACCTGCCAGAGTGCAGACCAGGAACCTTGAACAGTCAGTGACCTTGCCTGAAAAGAAAGCCAATGCAGAGAAGTGAACTGAAAAATAATAACACTGTTTGAACCCCTGAATCTAAATGAACCTGGAACCCACAAGCCCTTTGACTTTATAATTACTATGGCAGGTTGCACTGGGTTTTCTGTAACTTACAACAGAAAGCTTTTCAACTATCCGTGTCTTCCCTCCCATGCTGAGTTTGTGCCTTCTGACTTTCCTATGAGACCTCTCATCCCTGCCACACACAAGAGATCCCCAAGGTCCCTTTTCCCTAAGTCCCACGTTCTTGCCTGCAAGTAAACAAGGTCAAGACAAGTCAGTAGCACCTTTGAAATCTGCCTAATAACCATTTTTGGGGAGCTGGTAACATTGAAGACTTAGGAGACAGCTATATTTGCTACTGTCCTGCCAAAACAACCCTGGGGACTTCAGCCATTCTGCCAAAAACACTTAGACTCAGCACTGCCCTAAAGCTCCTGCTGTGAGCAATTTCATGGGATAGCCCCCTTCTTTAGAGATTCCCCCTTAGTCACTGGATATGCGTGCTGTGTTCCAGGTCACAGACTTTTCCCTAATGAGGGCAGGTATGTTTATAGACCAATGACCATATGCCTGGCTCAGCCTAACCCTCATCCTCACAAATACCCAGGATGCTGGTGCGATTATTATTCCATTTTACAGGTGAGCTAAATCACTAAGAGCGGAAGAGAGATTTGTGAGCCATTCTCATAAGAGGGGTACAGAGCTGAGGTACAGGGGTCGTGAGGGGATTCACAGAGAAAGTGGGGAGAAGAACTGCTGAGGGGAGCAGCGGGAAGGACAGGAGAGGTCCGCTGTGCCATGTGGGTCACATGGGTGGGATGGAACTCACACCTAAGTATCTGTGGCCAACTTCACTGAGTTGTGCTTTAACCCCTTGCACCACTAGGGAGGGCCATTCTCATCCTTTTCTAATCTATAAAGACTCTACTTAACCAGCATTATTTTTGCCTTAAAACTATAGTATAAATATATGGTCTAAAAAATCAACCAGTATAAAAGAATTTAGCATAAAATGTCTCTCTTTCATCCTTGTCTCCCAGCCACAGTGTTCAAGGGGTGCTTGCAAGGTGCCTCTGCAAAGCTTTTTACAGTCTCCATTTAATGCTCAAAACAATCCTATGTGGCAAGTATTATTAGTCTTGTCCCTATTCAAGAGGATGAAATTGAGGTTGAGTAAGAAAGTGAGACAGAGGCCAAGTGCCAAACCTAACTGTGACCGCCAAGTCTACCCCCTGGACCTTTCCTGTTCACTGAAGCCCCTCCCTCTTGGACCAGGACTTTTCCACTGCAGGTCCGTTGGCAAAAGGTACTCCCAAGCCTCAAGGTCACTTGGGTTTTTGCTGGTTTAATTCAGAATTAAAAGAAAATTGTGTCCCACTGTACTAGAAAGATGCCTGCCATTCACAGTTCTTTACCCCAGGCCATGTGTGTGTCCTTCCTCTGTCCACGTCGGCCAGCTAGAGGTGACTGGACATACAGCAGCATTCTAAGGTTCCATTGTTCGTTGCTTGAGGGAAAACACTGGCCTGCAGTGGAAATGGGGGTCTTCTTTCAAGGCTCCCTGGAACTTTGCTACCTCTACCATTCTGACAGCCCAGGTGTGGATATGGGAGCATGCAAAAAGCTGGTTAATTAATATTCTCCATGACACTGCAAGTCATTTCATCCCCTCCCTCTGGGTAGAGGGGCCTGCAGGTGGAATACCAGGCATCTTCAAGTTATGGATGGCAGGGCAGGGAAAGAATCTCTGTGCTATGTTCTTGGCAGGAAGTGTGGAATTGTTTCTCCATGAAGCCCAGTTTGGTTCTCATGCCATATGCACTTAGCAGCAAGTGGCCCAAATACTGAAGATTTCTCTAGTCTCTGCTAGGACAGTGCCTCAGAGGAGTAAGGAGAGAAAAACAGGATGAGGAAGGGGAGGAGGCAGGGAGAGAGACAGAAGTATCCTGGTTGCTCCATATTAATTAAATTGTAAAGAGTCAAATGGGAAGGCAGTAATGATAATAGGCCTGTGGGTGAATCAAGTGAATTTACCTCTTAGGAACAGACTGAGAAACCTTTGCTGCGAGGAAATTATATTAATAAAAGGATTACAAATACAGAACAGCTTCCAGCCTGCAGGTCATGCTAACTTGCTGGAGGAAGTGAGCATGACTTACATGCTCTCTGATAATGTACCTTCTGGAAGCCCACCTTCTCCCAGTGCCCAAGGGCAGGGTTGTGCTGGTAAATGTTTAACAACCAGCTCTCATGGGGGGAAACCTTAATGTGTATCATTTGCTGATTTCTGAAGTGTACATATTCCCACCATGCTTGATTTCAACCACTGAACTTAGAGCTGGAGAGAGGTGCTTCCCAGCACACCATGACATAGATGTAAATAACCTGGAGAGCATAGATTAGGGTAAAATGTAGAAAATAATAGGAAGTGATGATTTCTGAATAGTTTATTTCTTTAATTGTAAGTGTATATGTAATCTAATGTTTAACAATGCTGTGTTTAACAAGGGCCTCACAGAGTTCCTTGAAATCTGAAATCGGGTCTTTCAAGGCAGTGTGATCCAGCACTGACAACTTAGCAAAGGTGATCAGACTTGAGTGGTTCAGATTTCGACAATGATTTGGATGAGCCTGGTGCTGGGGTCTAGTGTAATGGTGCCCATGGACATGCACTAGCCCTTTCCTAGGGTCACTGCCTTAGCCAGGAACACACGCTGGGGTTTCTAGGGTACAGGGGACACAGAAAGCTGGCATGATTGCAAAGACATCCTTGAACCCTCATGGCTAGACTCTGGGCATCTAACATATTTAACACCCCTGTTGGAAAGACATGTTAGGGTGTCTCTTGGGACCAGTCCACAACCGGATGGCCACAGCTCAGGTCATACTCCCTGATCTCGGTAGTTGTGGTGGAATTTTCAGGGCCAGTCCCCAGGAATGCACATAACCCAAGTCTAAGAACCAGAAGCAAAAGGAATCTCTTGGATCTCTTTCCTTAGAACATGCTGTGGACATGCAGGCCCTTGGGGCATTACTTATCCTTCACTTGGGAAGAGCGATGGGGGTCACTTGAAGGGTTCTGGCTACTTGGCTACAGAATGAAAATTGCTACCACCAAGTGAAGAGAGAGCCAGTTGCTGTCAGACACACTATGCTGTAAACTCAGACCCATGGCGGTAAGTGCATCTTTTCCCACTATTGTGTTGTGCTTAGGAGAGAAATGGACCAACTTCAAGTACAAAGCTAGAGCTGCTACCGCGCCTGCTGTCCCCTGCCTGGATGGCTGTCACCCTCATCTCCTCCCTCCCTGCTGGCCTCTAAACTTCCTCCTATTCACATTCAGGATATGTTGCTCAACTTGAATAAACAAGTAGCAACCAGGGTGCAGACCAATCTCAGCCGTGGCTATGTACTCACATACCATACTTCGGGCCAGAAGAAACACCAGCATGGAATTTGTGTGTGTGTTTTATTTTCTCTCCTGAGCATATACTATTTTTACAAACAGTGAAGGGTTCTCCCTCATTTGCTCTGTGAAGTCTTCTCCTATTGCAGGTAAATCTCCTATATTGTCTCTATCTATGCCTCCAGCTATCATGGCCTAACATCACAGTGGGATGGAATTAACCTTGAACGTGTCTCTACTTTTCCCACTAGAGACAAGCTCCTCAAGGGCAGGGCTTTGGCTGATCCTCAGCATGTGACCGCACACCTGTGACATAGCCCTCGCTGGACCATGCAAAGCCCAAAAGGAAAGCTGCTCAGTTCGACTTTCCAAGAGTTTCTCTGCCAAAATATAAGTTACACAATCCTGTCAAGGACAGATTTCATTCATTTCAACTTTTTCATCATTGCTCTTTCAGAGATGAGCTATTTCAGTGAAGCTCAGAAGCGTCTAAGGGCATTCTCAAATCACACAGCAAGTAAGTGGCAGAGTCAAGTAGGATTCCTGGATTCCTGGGTATACTACCCAGCTAAGAGTATCAAGAAAGCATAGGGTGGTAAGTGATTGTAAACGTTGACATTTACTGAAAACCAAGCTCACTGTTGGGCCTTTCTCATGTATTATCTCGTTTAAGGGCTACAACAGGTATGCTTATCATTTTTTTTTTTCTGATGGGTAGAAAGAGGTTCAGCGTATTGGGGAAGTCTCACAAGGTAGCGTGGCTGGTCCCGCCTCTTTTATCCTGAGTCCAAACCCCTTTGCCAATAGCAAGCAGCTAAGTAAGTGGAAAAGCAAAGAGCTGGGAGACGCACATTGCTGCTTTCAAGGAAGGTGGGGGACCCCTGGAGACTGTGTTAAGATTAGACTCATGACAATTGGATCCATAGACAGCTGAACCGGAGTTCTAATCACAGAGAAAAGCTGAAAGGGCTAATTAACGCTCCGCTGCATCTTAAGAGCCTTTCTTTTTGATATCTTCTCTGCTTCGTTATTTTGCTTTTCGTCCCTATTAGCTTCCTTCCCAGATATCACAATCTACCCATGGCTTTGTCTTATTTCCGTGTGGGGCAGGAAGCCTCTTATGCAGAACACCTTCCCGGAGGGCACAGACACATAGCCTTCTGCCTCTGTTCTCTTCCCTCAGCCCACAGCTCCATTGTTCTCCTTCTGTCTGGGAAGCCAGTCCTGGCCTGAGCATTGTCTCACTGCCCCTCCACCTAGCCACGCTCAGCACCTTTGATAGCAGCTCCCAACTCTCTTTTTTCTTTGCTAAAGTGACCTTCTCTTTCCCTCACTATCTTTGAGGACTCAGAATTTCAACATCCCTTCTCACCTCATCTTCAAACCCTCACCATTTAGGAGTTTTTATCACTAGTATTAAAGCCACAATGGAAGCATGTCCAGCCTTTCATAAAGCCACTCCAATTTTACTAAAGCAATTTAAGAAAACAAACAAACAAACAAAAAAACCCTCAGAGACATTTCTTTCATGTACACAGGAGACTCTCCCAGGTCCCTA